CAGGTGTTACCTCAAATATGTGATCAGTGGCATGAGTGGATGACTGCTTAATGAGTAGTATTTTTAACCTTTATTTTTTCATCAGGCACAGTAGCACAGCTCAGTCTGAAAATAGTAATGGCATGACAGGTGTGGGCTATACCACCTGTTTCTTCTTGAGTGTGAAAACATGAATTGATGAAGATGTCTGTTAATTGGCATCTCATCAGAGTACTGATAAGGATGTTAATTATGCCAGTCATCATGTTACAAATGTTTCAATAAAAAAAAATTTCAGAATTTTTACCACAGTTTGCACCAAATTACTAATTTGGACAACAAATTGTATAAAACAGTTTACACAATTTGATCAACTAATGCAGAATTATTGCTCTGCCCACCTACCACAAATTTAATTAGTGTTGTGTGTGTGTGTGTGTGTGTGTGTGTGTGGATGTAATTTGTATATATTTATTTATTTATGTAAATTGTTCACAAGGTGTGTAAAAGAGGCATTGAGTCTTTGTTTTAATAACTATCAACATGATCTGTTTAGGCAAGGAAACTTTATTTACATAGCACATTTCATACATGGAGGCAATTCAAAGTGCAAAAGCAAGGAAAAACAGGAACAGCATTAAAACCAGAATAAAATCAGTTAAGACAATGTGAAGATAAAACATTGGTAAAATAAAAATAAGAACAAAAAGACAAAATAAAAGGTCTGAAACAGAAATCTAGCAGGTGCAAAAAAAGGATATTACTTACAGTTTTTATTAGGACAGAAAAATGTAAAGAGCATTTCTCTGCTGTGTTTGTCCTGGTGTTGTTAAAAAGTAAATAAAAGCTAAATGTATGTGTAGTCACCCTTCATCAACTTGGACTTGGCGGAAGCGGAGAAATAAACTGACATCAGTTTCACCTGGTATAATCAGGACTTCTGAAATAATTAGACAAAAAATTGGGCTCTGTGTTTGGAATGCGAGGATTATGTTGTCAGTGACAGAAGCCCAGTTTATTGTTTTCCAAAATGAGCTCATAGTGCATTTTTCTTATTTTTATTGCATAGAAAATACCAGCGAGACAACTGGACAGCATGCTTTCACTATGAAAAGATGTCAATGTTTAGCTAGGGAAGACCATGCTAGCTAAACTTTAACATACCTTACCACTGTGGTTTACATGGGTGGAACCAGATCACCTCAGCAGAGTGACAGCTGCTTCCTTGTGGGTTATCTTTTGTGGCATTGCAGTGTGACAGAATAAATCTATTGTCAGTCTGGCTCAGAAATGACCTGAAGTGCAAGATATTAGGTACAGTTATCTTGGCTGGGGATACGTGTAACGCTCATGTGAAGGCTGCTTTATCACCTCAGCAGAGTGACAGCTGCTTCCTTGTGGGTTATCTTTTGTGGCATTGCAGTGTGACAGAATAAATCTATTGTCAGTCTGGCTCAGAAATGACCTGAAGTGCAAGATATTAGGTACAGTTATCTTGGCTGGGGATACGTGTAACGCTCATGTGAAGTAGGATTTATGTTTATTAGCCTGTGTTGCTATTTCTGGTCACTGCAGAGCACCAAGCTGTGGCCGGTACTCTGCAGCGGCCAGCTGTGGGGTAATACGGCTGGGTGTCAGGTTGTAGGCCTCGCAGGAATGGTATGGGCTTGGCTTTTTAAGCGTCAGCTTGGATAGTGGCCTAAACTTTTCCATTGTCCTATTGTCTGAATGGAGCTCTTGTTGTTGGACTTAGAGTTTTCAGGCGTAGGTTAGCCCGCTTACAGTTGAGGTTGAGACCTAATGTTTGCTTTTACCTCAGTTTTCTTTTATGTCTTAGACATTAAAATAAAGTTCAGCATGTAAGAAGAGCAGTTGCCTTATCTTTGTAGGACTATTATCAAGGGTTTTGTTAAATAGAGGTCCTGGATGGCAGAATGTAGGTTAATTATACGAATACATGTACATGTTCTTTTTATTTTGTATGAATGCATAATGCTTATTTTATCCATCTAATGTATAAATCAGCTGTTTTGTTTCTTTTATTATTGAACAAAGTGTGTTTTCCCTTTTAGTCTTTTCATTTGTTGCCAGTCTTGAATATTACACAGAACAGTGAGCAGAGCCACGCTGACAAGAACAAGTTCCCCCCATCAATCATAAACTGTATTCATTGTGCTATGAGTGGAAACTTTTGCTTACAATTCCTGCTTCACTCGTCTTTGAGCCTAATAAGTCCCAACCCTGTGCAACATCACTCCCCTGATTGGGCACTACAAACCAATCTTGTAAATGAGTGTCTATTCTCCATAGTTTCTTTGTTTGATCTCAAATTGAGACTCAGATCTTGTGGGTCTGCTAGCTGATTTATTTCCACCTGGGATATGTGCAAACTATAGTTCACTGTGAAGCGATCAGAGGAGGAGACTGGAGAGCTTCACAAGGCCCTGATGAGGGCTAAACCGAGCCCTTGGAAATCCCTTATCTTACCAAACATGTTGTAACTGTATCAGTCAAAAGAAGAGTAGATGATTTTTGGGACTCTCCCAGGTATCCGTTTGGCACAGGTGGTAATACATCCAGATCCTTAATCAAATTGATGAGGACATTACAGAAAGTCCAGGGTTTCCCACAATGTTCTATGGCACTTTGTATCTTACAGTGACAGACTTGCATGATTAATTCCTGATGAACTGTTGTGTTTTTAAGATGCCTTGTTTTCACTAGCAGATAAAAAGCATCAGACTTAACCATCATCTGCACTGAGACTTGAACTCCATTCTGTACTTAGGAACATCTCGTAGACATTGGGATGTCTTTTCAGACCTTCTTCACCACACAAGTTGCTTTCCAGGGGAGAGGCTGCAGTGGACAGCCAGCATTATGTTTTTAACTTGGGTTAATTTTAGACACAGTCCTCTCCCTGGAGTGAGATTAGATCCCATTCTGGGCTGCTCTGACCTCACAGAGTGAGAAGCTAAGAAGGATTTGGCTGTTGCTGCTCAGATGGTTTATCTTCCCTGTTGACATCAATAGTCTGTATGAGAAAGACTGCAAAATGTGATGCTAGTGGAGTGAATCAGCTTTGGATCGAGCTGCTGCCAGTAGCAGTGCAGCCTAACCTATGTGGTGGGAGGGTATCATTGGTCCTTGAGACAACAGAACTTCAGTGGCGTTTATGTGGTCAGCAGAACATGCGTGGACTGGTTTGTTCAACTGATCTTGAGATGGAGTTGGCTGAAACTGATGACGTTCTCGTAAGACAGAAGGATTTGTCTTGTTGAATCAAACCATTTTTACCATTAGGCAGTTGTGATTTTAACAACAGACCAATAAATGGAAGCTAATTGCGTTAAGACTAAATGTGGATATGTGTATGAGAATATGTGTGTTTTAGTTTGACTTAGTTAACTCGTATCACAGTCATGATAGGTTAAATGTAACAGTGTGCTGATGTGGTCTTTTCCACAGCCCCAGTTATGCCCCTTTTTTCTATGAATCGACTAAGTTCATTTCCACACACTTGCAGCAAACTTGGCACGGAGGCTTTCTGAGTACAGTGAGATCTGGTTTACTTTTTTGCATTTTACATTATGAGTCAGTTTTATTATCTGGATTGGCATACTCTACAAAGTTTGACTTGAAGGGGGACACTTTATACTTATCTCTCAAAGCATCATGGGTCATGGATGTTTAATAGCAATGTGTATGCATAACTAATTGAGCCATAACTAGTATCAAAGTGAGGGCAGGCTTCATATTTCAGTTTGTAATTTGGCTTGTTTGAGCTGTGATCTCTCATAGGGTGAGATAAAATGTTTGTACTTCACAGTTGTAACTATACAACACAGTTAAAAGGTTATGTTATCTGCAAATTCAAAACTAGGTGAAACTTTCAGACTAAAGAACTTTGACAAAATATAAATGGAATAAATTGATCAGTCTTCAGATAGTCACAGACTAGATCAACTAGTGGAATGTCACCAGTGCACCACCCTGTTCATCATAACCTTTAAAGCTGAAGCAATTCAGGAAGTGACATCTAATCCCACTTTATTTAAGGTGACAGCTTTGAGGATACAGGTCAATGTTGACTGAGAGCAGCAGTGAAAATAACAAGTACAGAGGCTCGATCAAGTTCAGAGCACACCACTGCAGTAGGCTGCCCTCAGAATACATCAGTGGTGCATGTCTGAAACTCAGATATTTTCAGTGTGCTTAAGTTGTTATAACTTCAGAAGCTTGTAAGTAGGAAAGTATTTGATGATTAGGATTGGATTTTATGAGAACTCACTGACCGCTGGAGTGAACTATGTCTGTAGTTCTTCTCTTATCACCTCTGTACTGCTGTCATGAGTTGGTACTCATAACAAAATAAAGGGCAAGAATTTTATGAGGCAGTAGCTTGAGTTGTTTTGAAACATGGCAAGTTAGTGCAGTGCTTTTTGCTGTCTCTTCAACAGTTTATGTTGATAATTTAATTTAACTTGTTTATATAGCGCTTTACAACACCCAAGGATGCTCAAAGTGCTTCACAACAAAACGTATAAAAATGACGCAGAACATGTTAAGACACATAAACTAACAAAAAGGAAAACAAGTTAAAATTACACAAATTTAAAACCAAGGTCTGTAAGCAACTATAAAAGTCCTGTACAATAAAAATGAGTCAAAGTACAAACAGAGTAAGATTACAGAATATAAAATCAGAAAGCCTGTAGGCACCTGTATAGCGCCACTGCTATAAATTTAATGCTGAAAGCCAGTCTGAATAGGTGTGCCTTTTTATTTAGACTTAAAAACCATTAACTCGGTTATAGACCGAAGCTCAGGAGGCAGGGTATTCCAGAGCTTTGGAGCATATACGGCAAAGAACGATCACCCCACATTTTGTACCTTGCCTGTGGGACAACCAGAGACAAATGCTCAGAGGAGCGCAGCGCTCTGACCGGGGTATGAATAGCTAAAAGATCGGTCAAATAGGCTGGAGCAAGGCCATTAATGGCCTTGAACAGATACAATGTGAATAGAGTCTGGGCTAAAAGCGATGTATTCAGTCTTCCCCTCATTCAAATGAAGAAAGTTCTGTGCGAGCCACTGTTTAATATCACGCAAACACCTGTGCAAGGGGCTAGTGCATTGACATCACTCTGCATCAACGGTAAGTAAATCTGCACATCATCAGCATAAAAATAAAACCTAACGGTAGCATACAGTATATAGCGAGAAAAGTATAGGTGCCAGGATTGAGCCTTTGGGAACGCCCGAGGAAAGAGGGGCTATTGTGCAGGTAGAGTCATTGATCACAACCGAAAAGGTCCTATTGGTCAGAAAAGAAATAAACCGTTTGAGCACAGCACCACGCAAGCCGATACAATGTTCAAGGCGGGAAATGAGAACTGCACGGTCCATGGTGTCGAAGGCTGCTGTGAGATCTAAAAACACTAGAACAATGGGACTCTTCGTGTCAAAGGCCGTAAGAATATCATTGTGCACCTTCAGTAGCGCGCATTCAGTGCTGTGCCGGGACCTAAAGCCTGATTGAAATTTATCGACAATAGTGTAAAGTTCAAGATGAGACTGTAACTGTGTGAGGAGAATTTTCTCCATAACCTTGGATAAAAAAGGCAAATGTGAGACTGGACAAAAATTAGAAGGGAGCGTGGGGTCGGAGTTAGGCCTCTTGAGAAGTGGTCTGACTACAGCATGCTTAAGGGCAGTTGGGGACAATACCCAGCCTGAAGCAGCTGTTAATAAATGTGACCAGGCAAGGCCCAGTAGTGATAAGTTAAGTCCTGCTGCTTAAACTGAAAAAATGCCAGTGTGCACAGTCCGTTGACTGAGTCACAGACCTTTATGTCCCTTCCTCCTCTCTGTTCTATCCCATTTTTCTTTTCCTTCTTGTCCTATTCCCCTCACTCACCTAATCTATATTGCATCTTCTTTTTACTCTTCTGTCCAGGGGGATGCCAGGGGCCAGCTGGTGGCGGAGCGACTGGGCCTGGGACACAACCTGGACCTTTCTGATACCATGGTCCAACAAAAACTGGACGAGATCAAGGAGCAGATCCGTCGTGAAATCCGCAAGGAGCTGAAAATCAAAGAAGGTGCAGAGAACCTGCGCAAGGTAATATCACAGATTTTGTCTTATAACATGATTATTCATTGATTTTAAGAGCTTCATGCATTTATTGATCTTAAAAAAAACTAGTCTTTTAATAGTGTTTTTTTTTACTATATGATTCAACTGGATAACAAATTTGTATTCCATCTCCATGATTCCTCAGAACTGTCAATGACAAATTACTGATTACTCTATATTTGTTTTACAAATAAGACCTTGCTACTTTAGATTGACAGTATTGCATGTCAGTCTGCTGGACTCACCACAACACAGCCACATCCCTCTCTCTCCTCTCATTTAACAGTAAGGCTACATACAGTCATATTTCATTTTAGCTTGTTCATAATAGTTAGGTATTAGCTTAACAAGCTTGCTATGGTTAACACAAACTGGCAGTGCATGACAGACTGCAAGCAATGCTGAAATTATCACTTCTCTGCAAGTTTATGCTTGTTTAGTGGGTGTTTTGATAGATTACTCTTACTGACTTTTTACTTGTGGAGGCTTTATTGTATGTACAGTAACAAGCTTAGATGTTGTCACCTTGAGCATTATGTTTTAATTCACCCAGTGCAAGCAAAAATGCTCATACTAGGTGTGCTGAATGGGTGCTTTACAACACAAGACAATACAAAAGCATCATAGCAAAATGGAGAGCAGCACAATAATTTTCTTATCTTGATTATTTAGTTTTCATAATCACTGGAAGCCAGAATTGTAATTGAAAATAAAATTTGAAGAATCACCTAGTCCTATGCAACCAGTCACATATTTTCATCAGCCTCGTCTTTCAATTTCCATGTGCTTTTCAAAACTAACCCGACAAACACTTTACAAAGCTTGTCCAGTATCTCATCTCGCCATGACTAGTAAACTAACATTTATGATGAAAATTTGATTAAAATCTCCTCTCCTCAGGTCACCACAGACAAGAAGAGCCTGGCTTATGTCGACAACATGCTGAAAAAATCAAACAAGAAGGTTGAGGAGCTCCATCAGGAGCTGCAAGAGCTCAATGCCCACATTGTGGTCAAAGACCCTGAAGAGCTGCTAGGTAACAAAAGAAACACTACAGCAAAGGGGCTCCAAGGGATTTAGTAAAGATTAACTAAACAGTAAAGACACGTGACATAAACTGTTACACTGTGTTTGACTTCTGTACCACAATAATTTTTCATCACTAATAATTCTGTGTTTGGGCATGGAGTTTGCAGGTTTGTTACAGAATTGAACATATTGCATAATGCTGAAATGATTAGTCATTTGATTAACGGATCGACAAAAGTATATTTGACAACTACATTGATAATCAGTTAATCATTTGTCATTTTTCAGGCAAAAATACCAATATTTCAGTTGTACAATTATGAGAATTTGCTCATTTTCTTTGAATGTTGAACAAGAAGAGCAGTGCAATGTCACTGTGGGCTTGAGGAGACTGCAACATTCATTTTTTACTATTTTCTAATACTTTGTGCACCACACAATTAATCGACCCCTTAACTTTTCCAAATCTCTGTAGACCTCTGCAAATATAAAACAATTTGCAAAGCTTTGAGTGTTCCCAGGAACAGTGTCCTCGGTCATTGTGAATGGAAGTTTGGAAGGGCCAGGACTCTTCCCAGAGTGGGCTGTAGACCAAACTGAGTCACCAGGCAAGAAGAGTCATGGTCAGGGAACTGAAGTCAACAAAGTAACAGAGTTTCTGAAGTCCTCTACATAGATGGAGAACCTACCAGAAGGATGAACATCTCAGCGGCTCTCCATTAATCAGCCCTTTATGGTAGAGTAGCTGGACAAACAAAAAAGTTGAATAAACAACATATGGCAGCTCATTTGGAGTTTGTTAAAGGACTCTGAGAGCATGAAGGAAAAATATTTCCTGGCCTGATGAGACAAAACTGAACTCGATGCTCATCTTCAGACCATCACCATCCCTACAGTGGTGGCAGCATCATGCTCTGGGGGCAGCAGTAGGCACAGGGAGACTGATCAGACCTGAAGGAAGGATGAATGCAGCCAAATGCAGAGAGGTCCTTGAAGAAACCTGCCTCAGAGTGCAGACACTTGAGACTGGAGCGACACTTCACCTTTCAGCACAACAATAACCTTGTGCATACAGCCAAAACCACACTGGAGTGACTTTGGGACAACCCTCTGACTGTCCTCGAGTGGCCCAGCCAAAGCCCAGACTTAAACTCCACAGAACATCTGTGGCAAGTGAAAAATCGGATCAATGGCCCGAATCCAAGTTTGCAAAGCTTGTAGAGACTTACCCAAGAAGAAGACCTGAAGCTGTAGCTGCTGCCAAAGTAGCTTCTACAAAGTACTGGAATGAATACTTTTGTAAATGAGAAATTTCACTTAGAAAATCTATAAAAACACGTTATCACTTTGTGATTATGTGTCATTGAGTGTAGGTTAGTAGGCAAAATGGTAATTTTATCAATTTTAGAATTAAATCTACAACACTGTACAGTGGGGGGGGAGACTATAAAGTAATTTGAAACCTCTGTAATAAATAGTTTTCTCTTTTTTCATGCTTTTTCATTGACAGTTGCAGTCTAGTCATCCTGGATTAGATTTTTTTTTGTTTGTTTTCTTGTAGCCAAATACGCTTTAATTTTCAAGAGCTATTTGGTTGAGCCTTACATTTATCTATTCATCATCTCTTTGGCAAACTCTTGTCTAGATACCATTGTAAATGTGAAGTGTCACTGAGTCACTATTTTTGGCAGTGTTGTGTCAGAGCAGCGCCTATAGAAACGCACAGGGTACATTGAGTGTTTGGAGGTGACTCACTCTCCAGAGGCTGACATTGTTGCATTCCACATTCCACTGACAGATACAATCAACTGCAGATTGTTCCTCTCCGAGACTGCTGAAAACCTACTCCTGTGCATTTGTTGACAACAATGGAATTTGGAGAGAGTTGACCCACAACAGCAGTGCGTTCGACATGGTTTTGGTCTTATGAGTATTTGTTGGTGGCAAGTGCCTGGGTGAATTCAGGAAGAGAAGGAATGTCTGCCTTTTGGCACCGCATCCCCCCAGTACATTAGGAAGTAGATGATGATGGATGTGAGCGCTGGGGTATGGAAGGGAGGTTGTCTTGGTAAATGATTATCTTGAGTTGTAACAAATTTAGCCTAACTGGGCGACCCCTCTATCTGATGAAGGAGGTATTTCTTTTAAAGTGATGTGATGCCAGTGGAATATCACTGGCCACTGCAAAATAATGGAGAGGGGCTGAGCTCCACTCCAGTCATGAGGCAGCTTTTGAAATACGCTGTGCTCCAAGAGAGACGACACTCATTTCCTGAATTAGTAGGAAGGAGTCACTCTGTGAGCAGCTAGAATGTGTTTTTGTTCCAGGAGAAAGCTTAGGGGCCCTCTGGTTATTCTCCACCACTCAGCTGAGGCCAGAAATGGACTGACTTTCTCCAAGGCAGCATCTGGGAGCAGCAGCTCTGACGCAGGGTCACCAGTCAGGGCCCTCTCTCACATATCATCTCATTCATAACAAGACTGGCATCAAGATCAGCAGTTTTCTCCCTGAATACAAGTCTTGTCCATTTTCCTTCTAGTCATCCTATCGCATCCCAACTGACAACCACCCAGGCTAGTTCAAGGTTGAGCTCTCCAAGTTGTGATGTAATTGTTTAGAGAGTATTGTTTGCATGTTGTTCATCAGATACAGATGGAGTTAATCTGAGGGAGGGTTCCCCTTGTCACCTGTCCAGCACTGACATCAGCCCTACAGCTATTCAGTAGTTCAGTGTCTTGTCCTCCAGCCCAGCATGGGCTGAGGTAGTGGTGGGGGGTGGGTGAGTTCTTGGCTCAATCTGACTTTGACCAAGCCACACCCCCCACGCAGAAAGGGAATAAAGACTAGATGACTTGCACAGCACTTTGGCATGTGTATTTGTAAGTGGGCCTTTATCATTTACATCAACTGTCATGACACTGACCTAACGTGATCTTAACAATCACTGCAGATTCTTATGCAATGGGAATTTTCAGTTTTGCACTAAGTCTGTGTTAAATTCTCACCTTGCTCCACATGAGTTTCTACAGATATGTAGTTTTGATGAGAATCTGCAGGTGCCTGCTCTGCTTTTCCTGTCTAGCCCTGCTTCTCATGGTGAGGGTTACTCCAGGAAGGCTGACATTCTCCCCTTGTGCCTGTTAACTGAAGCCCCAGCAGTGATGCTCTCTCAGCTTATTAAGGGTCATTAGATGAATCATGTAGACCTTTAGTTCAAAGAATCACTTAAACCCCCCTCCCTCCCCCCCTCTCCTGCAGATGTTCAAAGGAACAATTAGTGTTTTTGATGAGACATTTGGAGTGAATGCATCACAGACCCACCTGCTGGTTATTATGATCTGTGTTTGGTGTGTGTATATTTGTAATGGGCTAATATATTTTTTAGCTTCCAGTGGGGGAAAATTGCCATTGTTTGGCGTTTTTGGACGTAGTGCCTCTTCTCATGGTCCTTTTCTAAGACAAATCCTTTAAGATCAGCCTAAACTGTGAAACTGGATTTGCAAGTCAGGCAGGTTTTTTTGCCCACCTGTGTGTCAGTGGCCTAGTATTACTCATGCTGTGGCGATGTAAATCTGTATACACAGTTGCATTGTGGGACTCGACATCCTTATGGGGACAAAAGGCAAGTTCCCAAAACATAAATCATTACATTTTAGAGTGATGATTTGTTATAAGTTTGGGGTGAGGTCTGCAGTTAGGCAAGTAATGGTTATAGTTAAGGTTTGGCCAAATCTCCAGGAAATGAATACATCTTGATGTATTGTCCCCTGAAGTGATGGAAACAGTGTGTGTGTGTGTGTGAGAGAGAGAGAGAGAGAGAGAGAGAGAGAGAGAGAGAGAGAGAGAGAGAGAGAGAGAGAGAGAGAGAGAGAGAGAGAGAGAGAGAGAGAATGTTTGCTTTGTGCTGCAGTGATTAGTCAAGGGAGGGTTTTTCTCTGCACCATTCGAGTTGAGACATGACAAAAAAAACACAAAACACAACAGTGAGTTCATTCCCTACAACTGTGGTCCAGCTCAGTTGATAGAAGACACATTTACATTTTCATTTTCACTTTGTGTGTCAGTGTGGTGTAACTGAATGCGTTACTCAAAACCATAGTATTGGGACAATAGTTGTCTGCAAGTTCACACACACGTGAGTGTGTGTGTGTGTGTGTGTGTTTTTTTTTCACCTTCCCCCAGTTGTTCAGAATAGAGATGGCCGCAGGGTTTTTCTCTGCTGTTTTGCCATTAGCACTGACTTCAGGAGAGAGCCAATCAAAGACAGAACCTTCCTCTGAATTAGCAGCATTTGCCTTTGTATTATAGCTCATGATTAAAAGAATCTTTAATGTGTTGTAATCACATTTCTGTTGTCTGTTCCTGCACAGTGGAGCAAAAAAGTCACACACATCCAATTCAATTAAAAGTTTCACACTGATTCCAGTTATTGTTCTGAAGATCCTAAACATATCTGACTTGTGTAGTTCCTCCTGTGTCATGAGAGGGAATCAAATGGAGTCTTGTGCTAACAAACCTCACCAAATTATAAACAGCAGACCTTTCTGGATACATTATGTGAAGACTGAAGTTGCTACCTGATGTGTTTCTTATAAGCAAAGTTACAGGTCATTTTGCAGAGCTGCTGGACTGTTTAGCTAACTTCAAAATGGCTGACTGCCAAAAATAGCACATGTCAAGTTACTATTTAAAGTCGGTGTATATTTGTGACAAACTCCAGCACCACATACAGAGGCATATATCGGTGGTTGTTTCCACAGAACCATAACTTGTACTTCTATGTCATCTTTACCCAGAATGCCCTCTGACCCCAGATACTCCTAACAGTGAGGCCAGAATGAGCACCAGCAGCAGCCGCCTCGCCGCCCTGAAAAGGCAGAATGACATCGAGCTCAAGGTCAAACAGGGTGCAGAGAACATGATTCAGATGTACTCCAATGGGTCCTCTAAGGTAGGATTCCACAGAATCACGGAGGGTGGACCTGGCATTCAGGTTTTAGCCGCCCCATGGCAGACTGCCAAGTCAGACCCATCAGTTACACTGTGTGGGAAGTAGAACTCCAGTTTCATACAAGCAGAGTCATGCTTCTGTAGTTTTAATTTATTTTAGTAACATTGCACGTTGCAATGTCAAGCTCATATAAATATTTCATAAAGATTTTAAACAAATCCTCTTGTTAGTGGAACATATTTGAAGGAGAAAATCAGATCAAACAGTAAAGTGATTACCTGAACTGTGTAAATATCCACAGTTTACAAATCAACTTCCTGGTTCATCGTTCAAATATCCTACTCAACACAGAGTTCTCCTGTTCAAAAGAGGAATTACTAGCAGCATTTCTGTTATAACTGTGTCTTGTCTTTCAGTTTTATATCCCAGTACATTTCAGACAAGGTTTTAGAGCATTTTGCTGGTTCAGTGTTTATCTTTTTTGATTTTAAAATTAAGCCTTGTCTACTTCTGAACCCTTATTATTACATTTGTTTACTGCTTGTCACCTGTTCAGCTAAAAATGTTTCCTCATTTGATTTTTAATTGGCCTAATAAGAGAATAAGTATCCTCGCATTCGTGAGAAAAAAGACAAAAAAGGTCTCTCAGTGTGGTTAATCTTTTGACCTTTGTGGGGTCCTGAAGCCCCAGGTTGGGAGCCACAGGTTTAGGAAAACTGGTTTTGTTCAAAAACTGTCTAAATTGTCTGATTGCTTGTAGAAATATTGTTGTGATTCCAAATTTCAGGTCTTACTTTGGTGAACACAATGTTATGGCCAAAACTACAAAACTAATACGTTGGCTAATTAAGTGTAATGATATTTGGAAATTATCTTGAGGAGTAACAGGAGCCTTCATAACACTAAATCACTGTAGTCATATCATTGTATTTTATTCTCAACTTGTAAAGTGGAATTACATGAAACATGATCCAAATGTACTGTAACATCTTAAGGTGAACTCTGACTAAATTGACTTCACTAACCACTACTATTGGTAATCTGTCTTTCTCCGTTAAACAAATCTTGACTTATGCCTGATATGAGGGTGGCTTTCTTCTAAGGCTTGCTAATTAATACTTGGTTCATGTGTTGTCCTAGTGCAAAATACCAGTGACAACAGATTCAAAGAAAGAATAGGATGGAGTTGCATCATGCACCATATGTTGTGAAGGGTTCCAGAGTTGTAGAAATATTTTTTTAATTTAAAGGAACACAAGTCTTTTTAGAGAGGTGGCCATGGTCATACTCATTCGTCATCTGAGAAGCAGTTTCCACTCTGAAGTCGATAGAGTTGATACATGGCAGGTCTGCTTTAACAGCTTCACTGTAAGGGAGGAGGAAACACGAGAATGTGCTGACACACACAGTGTGTCATAGGCATCGCTGTTTGTTCCCAAAGCTTTTACAGTCCTTGTGGCTCAGCTAATGCTTGGAGTGAGAAAAACTATAATTTAGTTGGGATGTGTGCATGTGTTTGTGTGTGTATGTCATCAGGACAGCTGGAGCACTGAGAGCCTCTTAGGGACATCTTGGCTCTTCTATCCATCAGTAGTAATTGAAACCACTTTGTAGTACACAAATTAGTGTAGTGTAGAGTTACGATGGTGCTGTCTCTGCTTTGCCAGTGATATCTTTCTGTGGGTATGTCAGCTGTAATGTAATGCAACAATGATCATTTCAATTTCTCATGCGTTGAAAATACTTCTAAAGGAGAAGTTCATCCATTATCTATATTGCTTATCCTGAAGAGGGCCATGGACGGGCTGGAGCCCGTCCTAGCTGACATGCATTGAGAGGCAGGGTACACCATGGACAGGTCGCCAATCTATCACAGGGCTGACACTCAGAGACAGACACCCACACTCACTCCTACAGGCAATTTAGAGTCTCCAGTCAACCTAAGCTGCATGTCTTTGGACTGTGGGAGGAAGCCAAAGAATATGCAAACTCCACACAGAAAGGCACCGAATCAGCAGGAGTTCAAACCTTCAAACCTTCTTGTTGATAGGCAGCAGTGCTAACCACTGCCTCACCATGCCACCCTAAAGGAATACATTTTATCTTTTCTTGCAAGATTTCGATGAGAAGATTGATGTGCTCCTAAATATGAAGCTATGGCCAGCAGCTAGTTAGCTTAGCATGGAGAGTGGAACCATGGGAAACAGCTAGCCAGATATCAATCCTTCAGTTTCAGCCAAGGAGACACTAAAGATGGTTTCAATACAGTAGGCTCTTGCAGAGCGTTAAATGTGTAACTGTAGTACAGTAAAAGGAGACTGGAAAATACCACATGACCTCTACAGTCTGTCTGGCAAGGAAAGGTCACAGTGTTTTGTAAGCAACCACCTCCAGCTAGACAGATGGACAGAGGAACCTTCTAGTTGGAAATAGTTCTGTCCTGATGTCATAGAGGAAATGCCTGGTGGACAGAGGTGTTTCCTGCATGCACTGCCATCAACAACCAGGATTCAAACTTCAGAGGAATTCTGGGTGGAGTTGGCCTGCTCCACTTTGTGTATATACAGTATGTGTGTGTATTTGTGTGCATGAGAGGGTCAGCAGTTACAACACAATGAGATTCCTTCTTCTGTTTTTGTGATTAAGATTTTCCATGTGGTCACTGGTACTTCAGCTCCAATTAAGGGCATGATCTGGCATCCTGGCCACTTGTGGTACTTGGTCACATCAGCAAAACAAAATGAGTGACAAGGCATGGTGTCACATGTACAAATGGGTCATCTGTACATCTGACATCCAGAGTTATTTTACTCAGAAAACGAATTATTAATAAAACTTCTAATTCAGTCATTAATGTGTGTTAATATCTCCCCCCAACAACAGACAGTGACTCTTTCTCATCACTCGTAGGATCGTAAGTTACTAGCGACGGCCCAGCAGATGCTTCAGGACAGCAAGACAAAGATTGAGTTCATCAGGATGCAGATCCTCAAGGCTAGCCAGGCCAGCGAGCTGAGCTTCGAGAACCATGATGTGTTGGGTGAGCCTTAGCTTGCATCTAATGATCAGTTCAAATGAGTCAGCAAGGCTCCTTAAGAGAAATGCCTCTTACAGTTTGAAACAGGCTAACAGACACAATCACATGTCCACACAAAGGTCCCAAATAATTATGCATCAAAATAAATAATAATGTTGTTCCTTGTCCTCCAGAAAAGCCTATGATCAGCCCATTAGACCTGCGGGTGGAGGAGTTGTGTCACCATGCCAGGATAGAGTCGGCTGTAGCTGAAGGAGCCAAGAATGTCATGAAACTCCTGGGCTCGGGAAAGGTCACAGAAAAGAGAGCACATTCAGAGGTAGGCTGATGATAGGGAGTTGATATAAGCAGGACCAAGATTCTCATCACTTCAGACCTGATGTAGTCTCATGGCCTTTGAATGAACATCCACCCTGCATTGCTGCTGTGCTCTCCTAAAGTAAAACGGACTATGTCATTGATGTTTTTCTTTCATTCCACCCTTCTCCAACTCATTTTGTTTCTGCTCTCTTTCCTTCCTCTGCACTTCATTCTGTTCTTCCTCCCTCCAGGCCCAGGCTCGTTTTAACGAGTCCAGTCAAAAGCTCGACCTCTTGCGATATTCCCTAGAGCAACGCCTCAATGAGTTACCTAAGAACCACCCTCGCAGCAGCAGCATCATAGAAGAGTTGTCTCTGTTGTCCTCACCGGCCCTCAGTCCCAGATCCAGCATCATCTCCACACAGAACCAGTACAGCACCGTCACCAAGCCCGCTGCACTCACAGGTAGCTGATGCTTATTGAAAGCATACCGACTATTGGAGATGAATTACACTCTGATATTCCAGCATCATCCACTTGTTCTTAACCCCCAAAAGGCCAAAATGTAATGATTTATTAGTGGGTTTTGAAAATGGTACATGACATCATTTGTGGTCTGAGGTTTGTCACTGCATCTGTTGTTTAGTCACCTTGATTTTTCACGAGGGCTTCATTCAAGTTAACACTGTGTCAGTTTTTCCATTTAAGGTTCCTTCAGTCACAGGGGTAAAAAGCCATCTTGATGGAGCTGTAATGGTGCTGTGGACAAAGTTTAAAAAACTTCATGTAGCTCAGATTTACCAGTAAAATAACTGTTCTACTCTGTCTAGTTTTAATGGTCTTAAGCAGGACTGATGTTATGAACTCTCATAGTTTTCTAACACAGCTGATTTAAGGATTAATTTTTCTGTTTTTAAAAAAATGTCCTGTATCATTGCTATTCAAACATTTTTGGCTAGTTGATGATTTGTCAGCAGATGTCATTCATTGTTACCATGGAAACAGCTTGGAGAGTCTGCAGGTTGGATTGCAAATGTTTCAGTGCTAAAATTAGTCTCTCTTTATTTGTGCACCTGCCAAACCTGCATTGGACTGGTCTAACAGAAAATCCAAGACTGGCCTAACCCAGTAAATCATCCTAAATATATCTTTATGAAACCAGCTACAAGTACTAACTTGGATACACAGACTAGTTAGGATGTGCCAGGTGGGATAGCTGAACAACTTGGAACAAACCAGACTGCGTGATAATTGAATGTGTGTTGTCCCACCTAACTCCCAGGCACGTTAGATGTCAGGCTCATGGGCTGTCAGGACCTCCTGGAAAACGTCCCAGGTCGGTCCAAAGCTGCGTCTGTCCCGCTGCCCAGCTGGAGCCCCAGCGAGACACGCTCATCCTTTATCAGCCGAGCAAACCGAAACCGTGGTGTGAGCTCAAGGAACCTGACGAAGAGCGAGGAGGTCTCCAGTAAGTAGACGTGACATCGTACACTGTCTGAAAATGGTAAATATTGATATAAGCTAATTCTGTGATTCCATGAAGCTTCACTAAGGGCTGACCAATAAATCACAGCTGGATTAAAAGTGATCTGTAACATTTCTCACTCTGTAATAACAGTCACAACTGGGCCATTGTTAAGACACAAGTGCATAATTAACAGCATGTGTGTATGTTTCTTCAGACGAGATCAGTGCAGTGTTGAAGCTGGACAACACAGTAGTCGGACAGACGAGCTGGAGGCCGGTTAGCAACCAGGCCTGGGACCAGAAGTTTACCTTGGAACTGGACCGGGTAACGCACACATTTCTGCCTTTGACCTACATCGGTGCTGTTGTGTTTGGGAACAGTTAGCGTATTTCACGTCTCTTTATTGTGTGTGGCTTTGTCCTTTAGTCTCGTGAGCTCGAGATCTCTGTGTACTGGCGTGACTGGCGTTCGCTCTGTGCTGTCAAGTTCCTGCGGCTGGAAGACTTCCTGGACAACCAGCGTCATGGGATGTGTCTGTACCTGGAGCCACAGGGGATGCTGTTTGCTGAGGTGCACACAGACTCACATGCATGCAAGCACACACCAGGGTGTTTAATTCCTTAATAGGGCATTGAGTAATTTGATGTTTACAGATGTTTGGCAATAACAACATATGGACAAATTTTTTTTAATTAATCACCCTGGATAGCAGAGCGGTTTCAGCGGGTGTCCCATGTGCCAGTGCACATCGGTCCGCAGTTCAAGTCTGGCCGTGGGTCTCTCTCTCTCTTCTCTCTCACCTACATTCTTGTCCGTCTCCTGCACTGTTGAATAACAGCTACAAAGCCCAAAATAAATAAATAAATTAAAGCAAACAGTTAAATATTAGGATAAACTGTGTTTGATGTTGTGCTGGTTTTTACAATTTTTCTGACTTTTGTTTAGGTGACATTTTTCAACCCTGTCATTGAGAGACGACCAAAGCTGCAAAGGCAAAAGAAGATTTTCTCTAAACAGCAAGGTGAGTCCCAGCTCTCAGCACAGCCTTGCACTGAATCTCCAGCAGGCATTTATTTAAACAGGGTTTGGATGGTGTGTCTAATATTGATATTCTTTGTTGTTGGATTTACTAAATACAATATTATTTTTTCCTGAATTTCCTCCAAATTGGCTGCTAGATGGCTAAAGAAAGGGATTTTTTGTTCTTCTTCTTCCTGATCTCTTTCACTGTCCTTGATCAACATCACCACCTTTTTATTTTTTTTTCTCCTCCTCCTCCTTTCTGTTTCTTTTACTTTATTGCTATCAGGTAAGACTTTCCTGCGAGCCCCTCAGATGAACATCAATGTCGCCACTTGGGGCCGACTGGTGAGAAGAGCCATACCAAGTGTCAGCACCAACTCCTTCAGCCCACAGGCTGCTGAGACCGGGCACAGCAGTCTGCCTGGTTCACCCACACCCAGCAGGTACACACACAAAACTCACACTACAACAGAAACAAAACTGTGTGAAGAGTCATAACCAGGGAATCTCTTCGTATCTACTGCTGGGCAGTCAGCCTGCAACACTCTGAGCCATTGTTGATGAGCAGGAAT